GACTGAATGATTTCAGTATATCATTCCAGAATGTCTTCTTTAAGTAAAAATGAGAAAATTTACAAAAAAATAATTGAAAATTATTGCAACTTTTTATTAATCACTTTAGCCAAAAAGTTTAAATGTGTTAATATTGCAATATCTCACTAATATTTATTAAACAATGTTATACATTATAAATGGTTTTGAAAAAGAAGAGATATTACAGGCTTAAATAATATAGACCCAGTAGAGCTAAAAAAAATTTCTAAAATGAATAAGATACTTTACTTGAAATAATAGAATGAAAATCACATTTTTTAATAATAACTAAGACTGATTGATAAATACGGGTTAAAAACTATTTGAGCCTTTATTCAAATAAAACGCTAGCTATATCATTTAGACTTTTAGTAAGTAATAGTACACATAGCTTAAATGAAACATTTTTAAAAGAAGCTGAATATTATATGTAATATATAAGCATTAATTATAAAATCATGTCACCAACTTTTAACCATGTCAAATTAATGAGATAATTATTCTTTATATCTGAAGAAGATAATAGTCTTTTCAAATTTTAGATTTGAAATGCAATCAAATCTTTAACTTTGCCTTTAATAGTATTTTATTCAATTACATATGTTTTCTGGAAAAATTGCTCATATTTCATAAGAAAGCAATCTTAAGGAGGGAAATCATATAGAAAACTAATATTATTTTTTCTGTGTAAGAAAAAGGTTTCTTTACTCGAATTCAATCTTATTTATAAAAGCGAATAAAGTGGTATGTCTTATGTTGATCTCATAATATCGTTTTTTTCTGTAAGCAACTTTCCTCCTTTTTTGATTGACAATAAAAAATAATTTGCTTCACTTAAATTAAAAATATGAATGGAAATTTTTTTCAAATTCAAGTATTGTTATTTTAAGTCTTGGTTTAATTAGACAAGGATTGAATTATATTGAAATTTTTCATCAAAGAAAAAAGTTTTAATTTGCAATCATTTAATAATTTAACAAGTAATATTTTTAAATAGTCTGATTTGATTTATTAAGGCACAAGAGATGGATTAAATAATTAATAATATTGGAATAGTGTGAATGGTAAAGGTAACTTACTTATGGTATTTAAATCCAAAAGTGATTATATCTTTGGAGCATACTCTCCTTGTAAATGGGAATCAACTAGTAGTTATAAATATGTAGAAGATAATACATTATCATCTTTTATATTTTCATAAACTCATGATTAAGTTTATCCTTTGAATTAAGATTAAAAATAATATGCTATTTATTGTTATTCAAAATATTATGGACCTGTATTTGGATAAGGATGTGATATTTATATAAATAATAATTTTACTGATGGATATTCTAGATTAGGTCATTCATATTAATTTAGTTAATACAAGAATTTAAATGATGATCCATATTTATTTGGATAAAATAAGCCAGAAATAAAAGAATCATTTGATTTAGACATCTTAAAAATTATTGTTGTTTAATAAAATGATTATAATAAAAAACTTAATGATATCACAAGAATAACAATTTCTTTATGTATTAATTATTAGATGGACTAACATACTACATATTTATAGGTTTTATTTTTTATATCATTAAAATAAAAAAACTTAGTAATGAAAACATTAATTAGATGATAATGTATTA